CCTATACTGCTCTGTTAAATCACAGGTTCTTGTTCACTGCATTCGTAGACCCCCAGGACCAAATCCTGGCTCCTGCTCTGGCTGTATGAGTAGCTTGTAAAATTGTCCTAAACAGGTGCCCAAGGATTGCCTCGGCCTTGCACTACTCATTCTCATRCTTACTCTCCCTGATGGATGGCATAGCTTGGGATTGTATTGCAGTGTAAGTGGCCCTGGTGAGAATATGATGATCTTCTTCTTTGTGCCAGTCATAAGGAGATTCTTGTAGGCAGGCAAGACTTAAAGCAGCCCTGATGTTTGTTATTGTAGGAGTTGACTACACCAGAGATGGAAGAGTTAAAGATGGCACTAGGGCTACTTTTAGAACTTAGACCTGCCAGATACACTGCATGCACTGTATGGACTGCTTTTTTAATATAAAGAAATTAGATTTTTATACAATTTATAAGGTCATCTGTCTGTCTATCTATCTATCTATCTATCTATCTATCTATCTATCTATCTGTCTATATCTATCTATCTAATTCAAGGATTATAAATTCTAACAGGACAAATGGGTAAACGGATACATTTATATACATTTGTATATAATGATGTGCTATACATTTCTGTATAATTCTCATTCTGAAAYGTGTGCACATTGAAGCAAAAATAGAACTGTTCCATTAAGTGCATGTCCAAGAAWGCATTATTTAAGCACTGTTAATTTWAAAGAGTTAATTGCTARATWRGTTAAGGGATTTASATAAGYAGAAATWRAAAAYTTCTAACATCTAACCTTAGGAAGAAATTGAGCTTCAAGTGTGGAATTCAGACCCCCAGTTACTTACCCAGTCTCCATCTAAAATACACGCAATAGGTGAGGTTGGAAGTGGCCTCAGGAGGTCATTGTATCCACCTCCCTTCCTCAAACAAAGCTGCCYAGAGCTAATTGTCTAGGACTATATCCAGATGGCTTTTTTCTGTGTCCAGGAATGGAGACTCTACAACCTCTCTGGGCAACCTGTTCTATTGCTCAGTCACCCACACAGTAAAAGGGTATTTTCATATATTCGTGAAGCCTCTGCTCTTTCAGTGCCCATTGACTCTTGAAWAGTTGGCAAGATGGCATTGCTCATTTATACAGGGGTTTATAGCTTAAAATACAAGAACACCTTCAATTTCTAATAATAATTAAAAAATTTTATGTTTGAATAAAAGCTGAGGAAGAGCATTACTCTAGACCTATTGTTAGAAAACATAGACTGAAAAGATGTGTCTCAATATGTATTTGATGGACCACATAATCTAAACACACTAAGCGGTGTGGGAAGCTAATTTGCAAAATCACCCCCATGTTCAAGAAGGAGTTGAACCTGAGTCATCTACTGCTTTGAGAAGTGCTCTTGGAGTGCCTACCGTGGTTTATTGCTATTTTTGGATGGCACTGGCTTTTCTTGAAGTCAACAAAAAGCCAGATGACTTTACTAGGGTAATACCAGGCTCAAACTAGTATGCACTGCTTCTCATTGAGGCTTCTCACCATGCCTGGAGTGCCTGACTGGCCAGGTCACTCTTAGGTCACTTGGAACCTAGGCAGAGCAAGCTCCTCACTGTCACGTGAATAGAAGTCATTCACATGACACACCTCATTCACCTTGCCACAATGACGACTTATTGCCCCAGAGAAAAAATGTGTACATCTAGTTTTACCTGCTGTGTAGAGGTAATGTATTAGAAACACCAGTGGAGCTCTGCGATGGTCGGTTCCAAGCCCTGGATTTTCCACCCATTTTATGGTATGGTCTTGAGTAGTTGTCTTGGAAAGGTTCATGGAGAGGCACAGGAGATATCCAAGCATGATGCAGCCCAACATTGTAACCCAGCACACTATAGAAAGGATTCAACCCGACCACCAAAGACAAAACCACTGCAGTAGGATGTACACCTTTGTTCTTTGGAAATCAAGCATCAAACTATCTATTTAGAGACATGAAAGAAGAGAATACTTAGCTTACTGTGGGAAAAGRCTAACATTTTTCTTAGTTTTCATTAAAGGTCCAACTCAGCAGGTTTATCTGCTGTCAATCCTCTGTAAACTGAGCCTGGGCAGACTTCTCTTTCTTTGTTGTTCAAATATGCACAGATTTTAGAATATCTCTATTCAGGTTTTACTCTTTATCCTCAAATTTAAACAAAGGTGATCACATAATGTCACAGACGTGAATAATTTTTCTGATGTTCAGGTCTGTCAGTCAGTTTAATGATCTGTCTACTTATAAAGGTGTTTGTATCCTAGTATAAATAAGGTTCTGTACAAAAACACTGATTTTATGTGTGTTGGCTTCATTTTCATCATATTTCTCTGTGTTAGTCTTTCTATCTTTGAAGCAGATTTTTGCAATTCTGTCTACTGTTCTACTGTCTACTGGGCTCACTGTCTGGTATTTAAAATTGCCTAAATAAAAAAAAACAAAAAACAAAAAACAGTGTTCCATTGTTGTAATGTGTGCTGTGTTTGTGCAAAGTTCAAAAGTAGGAGAAATTAAGTATTTCATCAGTTGCACAAAAGTTACTGATTATTCTGTATGGTAACTAGTTTTCAGTATTCAGTATATATAATTCAACTGTTTATTTTGTCATCAAAGTAAAATATGCACTGTATTTTTAAAAAATAAAATTTCCCATGTGAATAAATACTGAACTTTTTGTGATATAAAAACACATAAAAAGCAATCATGATACTGTTGTGAATATCCTGCATGCAGTTGGAGAACAGTAATAAACTCTGATTTCAGAAATTACCTAGATGGAATAAAACAGAGCTTCCAAAGAGTCTCGTCARAGTAAGGGGACAGAAGAGAAGCATATACTGTAACTGTCATATTGTCAGAAACAGAAGTGCTGATTTTTTCTGTCTCTCTATTGCCCTGTGAAATCCTCCCAGAGATAATCATCTTAATTATATTGATCTTTGGGGAATACTGATAAAGTAAGATGCTAATGAGCTGTTAGCTGAGTAGGGGCAGCTGTAAGCCTTTCATGGTCTTTGTCCACATTCTTAAAAATATCAAGAGAACAAAATACAGGTAGTATCATGCTCTTTCTCTASTAACTTTGCAGAAATTCATGAGCATAAATATACTTTGATTTTTCATAAATGCTACAAAATAGTTCTTTGCCAAATTCTTCTCCAAGTAATATTTTGGTGTGAGAAGGAAATGTTGAGAAACCCTTGGAAGGATAGTGAATACAGTTTTAGCTGAGAGTCTGAAGCTGATTTAGTTCTGCAAATTAGTGCAGTCCACAATATATTTTTTTTCCTTGTGTGCTTGATTTATAGACAATTTATATCCCATCTCTAGGAATGCCTGCCTGAATACAAACGTATATAAATTTTGTCCCTTTAATTGTTGGGTTGTTGTATTTTGTTTGTTTGGGTTTGTTTTTTTAATGTGGACACAATGCAAGTCATGATGTCAAATCCCTCAGATTCTTTAAATGGTGGCCAGAAGAACCTCTGTTACAGATGCTTTCCCTTTGTATTGTAATTTAAGTTTACTGAAATCTGATCGAACTTTTGCTCCACAAAACTTTGCAGCTGTCTGCCTGGATTACACCTAGCAGCAAATTAAATAAGACAATCTGGTAGTATTTGTTTATAAATTAATGCCAGTTAAGCAACATAGGTAGACAGTTTCACAGGTACACACAAAACACACATTCATATGATTGTAAATAAACAGATTTCACAGGAACCAATGTAACTGCCATATTGTTCCTCTGTATTTATAGCTATGTGAGTGAAAGTTTAATGATTTTTATGTTTTTTTCAGGTAAGAGAAGGCTGAAACATTTACATTTATCAAGTTTTAGTATATCAAACTAGAATACTTCAATACTGATTATTAAAATACAGAAATATCCCAACCTTTTTCTTCCTGTCCCTTCCTTTTTGAAAATACAGTGCTTTGATTGGTCTTGCAGCTATACATACACACCAAGTGTTTTTGTGAAGCTGTGTGAAAATACAAATTGGGCCAATATCTCATGTGCAGATTACAATTTCTTATTTTTATGCATGTGGTAATTGTCATTCATTTGATGGCAAATATATAGCAGAATAGAAGGACCGTCTTGGGTAGTTGAAATAAAGAGCAAATATAATGAAGCAGTCGTGTTTCTTCTGAATCCTAACAGTTGTAAGAGAAATTTTATATGATACACAACCTTATGAGACCCAGCTTCTTTATGATATAATCTAACTTTCTGAGTAGAGCTACCTTGCCAGCATTTCTACATTTTCCCTTTAACATACCTACACTGGAAGGATGGAAATTCCATTTTTCTTTTATCCTCAGTGACTCCAGAGGCAAAAATTTCCTTGGTCATCACTGATCCTAGTGCAGTACTTTATGACATTTATATACAGTTCCAGAAAGTGTGTTAGAAATTGACTTCAGGGAATCTATTAACTTGCAAACATGGCAGGTTCCCAAGTGTAATTTATGGTTTGCAGAAATATGGGATATTCATTGTCATCCTTTTTCTACTGTTAGAAATCATGTGTGTGTGTGTGTGTGTGTGTGTGTGTCTGAATTTATCATTTAGTCCATACAGAGGAAAGTTCAATAATGGTAAAATATATAACTCAAGCTACTTTTGTTTTGAAGCATCTCAAGATGGAGCAAATTAAGATTACGTGATTTTAGATTAYCTTCTTTTTAAATGTGAATTCTAAACAGCAGAATTGGTAACAGGGCTTTCTCATCCTGCCTTTTTCCTCCTCTTTAGATCATGTTACGTGTGTAAGTATGTATGTGCATGTGTGTATTTAGATAAGTTTGTATGCCACTGTTCTCAACTGTATTATTTCTGGCAGTAATATGAAAGGGTGATTGGATAGAAAAAGTGCTCAAGAGCCTCTAATAGATTTCAATCCCATCTGCCCGTTGCTCTGTTTTGCACTGAGTCTAGTATTTTTTTAAGCTGATAATTGAAAACCTATCTTGTTCTTACAGAATGGCTTTGCTGTTGTAAGGCCCCCAGGCCATCATGCTGAAGAATCAACAGCCATGTAAGTACCAGGGAATATTGCCCATCTTGGAGCACTAAGGTTACCAGCAATCACCTGCATTGTGCATGTCTCTGAAGAACTGTAATTGTTAGCAGATGACTGAAAAGGCTTTCTAGGTACTCCCAGAAGCAGATTTATGGCCTCAGAGATCATATAGCATTTTTAAAATGCTCTGAACATTATTTATAGCTGTTTTCCTGACTGATTTGCCTTCTTATTTCTGTTCTTCTCTATTCCACAGGGGGTTCTGCTTTTTTAATTCGATTGCAATTACTGCCAAATACTTGAGAGACAAGCTAAATATAGGCAAGATATTGATTGTAGATCTGGTATGTATTCTTGGCAAGCATCACACTCGCAGTGCATCTAGATAAAAAATAATGAATTTGTATTTATTTGTCAGACTTTCCTGCTTTTAATACCTACAAGTAATAAAGGTGTGCATTTCCTCTGATTTTGGGAACTCATTAAAGCCAGGATGGCAGTATTGAAGCTATAAACATMTATGTTTCACTTCAATGGTGTTAACTGCAATTTAATGAGAAGAAGGCACAGATCAGGGCAASTTTTATGGTCCTTAAATGAATTGATACTTCCACTGTTAAAATAACCCTACAGAACCCAAGTTTACTTTTCCCTATAGAATAGGAACTTTAAGTAGTCAGATATTCTTTAAAGAATGTTGTTGCRTTGGTAACCAAATTAACCACTTCCCCAGTTAGCAATGATTTGACTTGTGTATCTTTGATATTATTAAACAAATCGACAGGTCATTCCCTCTAAGAAATTTTCTGGTCATGTGTGCCAGGTTATGGTGGTTCCCCAAGGAAAAGCTGTGTGATTAAAAATCCACTTCATTGGATTAGTCTTGTATTTTAATAGAAGGCATTCTTGCACAATACTTAATATGGTTAACAAATGGATTATTTAAATGCAGATGACATTTGGCATGTTGGCTATATTATTTTCATGAATAATGAATTGGAGCTCTGCCTTGCACTTAAAGGATCAGCCCAATGCACAGCCCAAGGAAAGTTGAATGCTGATTTATGAGCACCATTTTTGTTTTCCTACAGTTCATGACGAGGTGTAATAGGGTGTCTGACAAAGCATAGACAGGAAATGAACCYTGGCATCAAAACCTAACCTGTTACATCTGCACTTAATTAATTTTTGCAGGTGATAAAAGATTTAAAGACAAAATATGTTAAAGGGTTTTTGAAGTGCAGGGCTTAATAGTCTAAATCTTGTTCATATCTGCACTCATAATTAAATCTTATTGTGGAGTCATGGCCTTACCATCTAGCACTTTTGTTCAGTTAAACATGMGTACTGACTGTTGAAGAGAAGCAGAGAAAGGGGAAGTGTGGGAGAAGGAATGGCAAGTGAAAAATGAGTGGTTGAATAAGTATATGGGTAGATTAAATATTCTTAGAATGCTTTTTAGATATTCCTCAGATTGTTCTACTGTCATTCAGAAACATAATTATAAACTGTCAGAAACTATTATTTTTGAAAAATTYACTTCTACCGTATGTTACGTCTGTTTGCTGACTTGAATCTTTCAGTTTATTGCGGTAAATTCTGGCCGAAAATGAACTGTCTGTTTATTCTCATTTTTTAATAGGAAAAGTCTATCCAAAGTGTGTGAATGTTCTTAAGCCTTTTTGTCTGTAAATGTTACATTTGCCTTGTTGGGAAAAAAACCCCACTTTTTTTGACATACTCAGCCAATAAGCACTTAGAAATTCAGCTCCAGGTTTTCAAGGTTAAATGTGCAAATGATTACCTGTGAAGATGCCTACCCTTACCCAGGAARGTAGGTAGGGAATGCTCAGCCTTTCTCCAACTATCCCATTGGCCAGAATAACTCAGCTGGTGAAAAAGAACAAATAAATGGCTGACACAGATTATTTCGTTCCTGGAGCAGTTGCAGTGCAGTCCATGGTCAGAGCAATGAYGTACAAAAATTCATATGGAAAAGTTCTTATGCATGCAAACTATGGATAAATCACAGGCCAAACTGAATGAATGAGCAAKTTAATAGTGATGTCTTTATTCCCACCAGCAGAGTTTGGGGTATATGAAGGAAAGAATGGAATTACAGATGTTAGACTTGAAGTTAACTTTTAAGACTATRTTTTGATAGTGACTAGCACAGCAAGACCCCATGCAAGTTGGCAGCTATACATGTTACTACAATATAAATATTAAAAAGTAATGTCCAMTCTCACACACCAAAATWTACTCTAGTTTCAAATTAAGTGTAGTCCTCGTAGGTCTTACATCTTCATATATAAATTCTTAACTTATTAATTGTCAATCTTCCTTTTATCTATTTCTATAGAAAATAAAAGACCTATCTGACAGTTTTTTTCCTCATTCCACCATTTGAATAAATGCTTTTTTTTGAACTGACTTATATGCCCTGAATACATTTGATCTACTAAGGGCAGAATATGAACTCATTTCCCCCATGCTAACATCCGCAGTCTTAAAGAACACATTCCTTTGTCTAATCAGAGAAGTTACTGCTCTTCAAAACAGAGCTCTTAGTGGAATTAAAGTTTAGACAAGAAAGTTAGCTTTGAGATTGGAATAATAATAAAAATAATAATAAGGAAAAGGCTCTCTCTATGCCCCTTAAATATTTTGTTTTCTTTTGGGAACTGCYACAGCAAGAATATGTCTAAAGCCCCAAATATATTTGGTGAAGAAATACTAATTAAAATAACAAAGTTAAATCCTACTGTGTCCCTGCAGATCTATCTGTGTGCCCAGCATAACTTCTCAGGTTCTTGAAATCCTCCTTCCAAGATCACCCATGCTTGCATTATGCTAAGAGGATTTGAATCTGTTTTGGAGTAAACTAATTAATTCTGTCACAGCTGAAGACTGAATGGGATTTTGGTATTAGTCTTCATGCCAGATTTTCCTTCATTTGCCAGTCAGAACCATCTGGCTCTACACTGGCTGCATTGAAATTTCCAACACCCTCAAACCAGCATGTTGTCCTTTGCAAATCTAATGTGTTGCATTTAACATTGGCTTGAAGTCACAGTTGGGCTGTAACTCCATCCTCATRTTGTTTCAAGTACTTTCAACAGAGAAAAGAAAATCCTATAATATTACCCTACAGAGGTCCCAKAGGAGGTTCAAGTCAAGCACAATGCAGTACAAGTAAGACTCAATTAATGTAGAGGGTTCTGAACAATGTGGGTGAAACTCATGGGTTGCACCAGCTGGCAAGAAGGGCAAGCAATGGTCTGTGCTATCAGCAGTGCACACCTTGAGGTACCATTTGAGCCTTCCTGTAGTCTAGGCATTCTGAGGAAAATGTAACCTTTTTTTTGTTCAGACACTAAATTGTATTTAGACCTCGTAATATTTATAAAATAACTACAAACTGGGTGACAGTGACAGTGTTGCCATTCACAGTACTTTGTCCTCCTTAATTCTCTAAATCAGAAATTTCAAAGGGATGGCTTAAAGGAGGACAATCAATAAGATCTATAACTTTTCAGCTTCTTAGAAATGCCAGTGAAGAAACATTTTTTGCTTTTTTTTTTGTTTTTTTTTTTACTTTACTGAAAGGCAAGTGGATTTTCCATTTTCACTTGTAAAATTCTTGTGTGTCTGACCACATAGAATATTAGCAAACTGTGAAAACAAACTAAAAAAAAAGGAAAAGTCTGCATCATCATCCTTGGTTATACAGATATACTGTCAGCATTTCTTTGTCAGCATTTATTTAATAACAGAATTTTATTCACTGTTGTTATATAATGTTTGAAATATGGAGACTAGCCAAGGTCACTCCTTGATTATGGAAGGCACCATCCTATCTGCCAGATGATTTAATAGCTAATGAGATCATATTCCTATGTCTTCAACTGTTGCCGTCATGATTTTGCAAAAATGAAGTATGAAGTCCTTTCCGCATCTGGCATCTCTTTTGATGTGGATCTAACTGCTGAGGGACTGAACTGAACTGAATGTTTCAAGAAAGCCAATTTACTCAGCTGGTCGCAGAGCCTTTGACCTCAATAGTGGAACTTGGCAAATCAATGAATACTCTTATGTTTAGTGTTCTGTCAAGAATTGTGAAAAAGCTCTGTAAACCATAGATCCTTCTGCAAAATACTAGTTTGTAGTTTAAACATTAGTCTTTCTTCAGAGGCCAATGAGGCTAGTTAATTAAGCCTGAGGGGTTATGAACTGTTGGCAGTTAATAAGTCATAAAATTCCTCCATAAAACAGGATGCTAGATTCCATCACTGAGGCAAAGAGTACAAAGAGCCGGTGTATAAATATCTAATTGTACAAAAGGACTGGGATTTCTCAATGACTGCTCATCTGGAGTCTCCAGGGCACGCTCGCTATGGTTTCCTGATTTTTAGAAGCCAGTTTAAAAAATGAGTGCATTAAAGAGTAATTTGCCTGAAAGTTCAGGAAGTATGGGGTGGTGAAGGGAGGGGGAAAGGGAAAGACAAAAGGAGGGCAAGGGAGAGGGAGAGAAACTGAGAGAGAGAGAGGAGGGGGGTGTAAAAGAAAGCAGAACTGAGCTCTCTACACTGAGTTGGACATTATTACATTTGTCATCTGTTTTCTTTCTCCTTTAGGATGTTCACCATGGCAACGGTACACAGCAGGCTTTTTATGCTGACCCCAGCATCCTGTATGTTTCCCTCCATCGCTATGATGAAGGCAACTTCTTCCCCGGCAGTGGAGCCCCAAATGAGGTTAGGTTTATTTCTTTAGAGCCCCATTTTTATTTGTATCTTTCAGGTAATTGCGTTGCWTGATTACCCCTAATTTTCTTGTCCTTCTCTGGCTCTTTAAATTACACCAGATTACCAAATTGTCCACTGGGAGCAGGGGACCAGTGGAGAACAAGTGCATAACCCAGAGCAGTCCTTGTCAAACAAGGCTGGGCTGATCTGACATGTTGTTTGATGTTTGTTTCTAAAGCACATTTGTGAATTTTTTTTTCCCCTCCCCATTCCCTCTCTCTTTTACTCCTCCTTTTTCCTCTTTTTCACTCCTTTTGGCATTTTTTTTCTATTTTTCAGGTTGGAAGTGGCCCTGGTGAAGGGTATAACATAAATATTGCTTGGACAGGTGGCTTAGATCCTCCTATGGGTGATGTTGAGTATCTCACAGCATTCAGGTTGGTACCATTTAGAGTTTTGAAAACTGTTTGTAGAACAGAAGCACATGAATAAGAGCTAATGTAATATTGAAAGCCAGGGGAAAATTAATCCTGGTATGCCATTATATGAGAGTTCAGTAAATAAAAAAATGGTTAATTTAATTGTTGTGATCATCCATGAAGAATCAACCAAAAAAKTACTAATTTAATTGATCACTTGTGTTTTCATTATTAAGCCATGCCAGTAAAATGACTTGGAGCTTGCTTACTTCTCTACCTATAAAAATTTAAATGTAAGTATTTATACCAGGCAGAAAAGAAAATTCCTGTTCACATTCACATTGATTGCAGTTACATGCCTGTAGAGAGAAAGCAGTTTGAAGYATGGTCCAAATCTACTGTTTCTCATTCACTTAAAATACTCATCATGATGCTCACAGATTTGACCATTAGTTTTTTTTCTACAAATTGCAGTAGTGTGTTACTTAATTAAAAGTAAATAATTTTGAAATTCTGCACTAAGAATGATAGGAAATGTTGCATGCTGTATTTTTCTTTGCTCACTTGTAATGAATATCCTCAATAGCTCATGGACCAATGAAGTTTTATCTTTTCATAGGTGATGCATCATAATCTGTTAGTCTTATTTTCATGGGACCAGAGGAGATAACACTTTAAAACACAATCTTTTAGAGTTTCAGTGTCCTGTCTTACATACACCATTTCCTTTCACTGTAGAGCAGTCCAGTGGAAGGGTTTAGTGAAGTTTAGGGAAGGCGATGGGTTCATCTTTCAAGTTTGGGCAAATGCTACTTATTTGAAAAGAGGTTTCATTTGGTGGAGAATGGCATGCAAGAAAGGCAATAAGACAACCAATGTTCAAGATATTTAGTGTGAAGTACTGCAATTAAYTTATACAGTTTTTGACTATATTCTATTAAAAATACACTACAAAACCCCATGAGACTTTTGTTTGTTGGGGATTTTGTGTGTTTTTTGTTTTTTTCCYAAAGAACTTCYATGCAGCCCATGAATTAATATAYAGAGTTTCTGATAAACAACACACCWGAAATCAAATTCTRAGTCTTAGTCAGAGAAATAGCCTTACACGTTCACAATATCCTGCTGTTATTGGAGAAAAGGTTTTAATTTTATTTTCATTTGTCTGTATTTGAAAAGAGTCAAAACAAATGGTAAGTGGCAGGCTCCACATTTTCTGCACTTAGTAGTGCCTCAAGCTCTTTCCAAGATACTTCCTATACTTTTGTGAGATTTTTACATAAGTTAAGGAACTGCATAGTTCAAATCACTGGTGSTGGTGTCTGATATTAATATATCTGGTATTTCCACCTCAACATTCTTGGTTTGGATCCAAACTGTCCTACTAATGGTATAGGTTATGTGGCCATCTAATGACGCACAGAATGGTGGTCCCAGTTTATTCAACAGAAGACTCACATACTGAGACTGTAACCATAATTGGTACCCCTGCTATCTTGATGACAAATACCTGGGCTTAATAGTGCATTTAGAAATACATACTTCACAGTTCTATTTTAAGGCACAGTGGTAAATCGTTTGGAGCAGCTAGTATTGCTGCTCTGCCTATTGCTCTGCTTCAAAATTAGAGGGAATTTCAGTCTCTGTTCCTAAGCTAAGCACTATTCAGGAAAACAAAATTTATGTAACTTACTTCACTCTGACTAGCTGTGTGTAGGCATACACTTAACAGTATTTTTTTAAGACAAATAAATGCAAATTTAAATTTAGAATCTCATTTTGAAAAATTGTTGATGGGGCAAAATTTAATGTTGCTATTTTAAATGCATCCATTTAAATTTGTGATTAATGCTATAATGAATGTGAATGTTTTTCTCCAAGCGACAACAGGAAATGTTTGCCTACACTCTCAGCCCCTTTTGACCTGATCACAGTCTTTGTGCCCTCTGTAGGTCTTAATGACATGGATTTAGTGTGACTGGTATGACAGTTTTGAGTGGGGATCATTGAAGCAAACAGCAAGGAACCTTGAAGCGTGGATACAAAAATTTGTGAATTATGTAGGATAGACCAGTTAGCTGTTTTCTGTAGGTCTGGTCTGAAGGGYAGGTTAATTTGCAGCTCCTAGTAAAGAGACACTTTATGCATCAACCRGAATCTATTMTTGAARTCATCCAGAATTTCRCACATGACRTAGYCTAAGTTCTCATTTTGGCCAGAACRCAAYTGTGAGACAGAAGACAGGCAAGAGWGATTCACAGTCCAGAAAATCAGTAGAAGAATTGCCAGGATCTCACAACAAATCAGCTGTCGYTCTGGAATTTCTGTCTACAACAAGTCAGTTTTTAAGAAAATAAGTGAGTTTCAGTGATAGAAAAATGTTACTTGTTTTCTTATGTCAGATTACATGGTTTTATAGACAGATTTACAGAGAAGWTMCAAACWAAAGTGTGGAGCAAATTTTGAACATCTTCAATCTTAAGAGAAAAATAAGGGACAAATKGAGAGATTTTTCTCTTTATACCTGCCAGAAGACAGAGAGGTTGGGCAGTATTCAGTTGCTAGTGGAGGCAGGAGTGGATACTGGTGAAGGTCCTCTCCACCATAACCAAGGTAGGAGTAAGTTTGCAGATGGGTGGAGCCGGTTTGGGGAGAAGCCAAGGCTTCCTGCATACTGGCTGGCTCCAGAKCCTAATCCTTTGAGTTCTTAGGAACTGAGAAATTTGCGTTAAAATAATGTAAAACTCCCCAGGGRGTGCATAGAGTTTTCACTTTCTCACCAGCAGAGCCCTAATTTCATCCTAGAATTGCACCAAGCATGTATTTGAAGTGTCAYCAGCCTTGACATTAGGTAGCTTGTTATTGCTTGATTGACTGTCAAATTTCACAGCAGAGATCCTTCTGAATGATAATGTCCACAGAAAAAAAAGACCAAGGCATTTTTTCCTCTCTCTAGAGTTCAGCTCATAACTAGGTGATATATATGACAATGTATTTGATATCAGGTATTCACTTCTTAGGTCAGAATACATTTGTAGGAGATTGTAAGCATTTACACACATGTACATTGATGCATGCAGATAGCAGAATACTAGYTATTTTCCACTGCATAAATTACTAGATAAATCTATTTTATGTAAATCTATTTTTTTGTAAATCTTTTTAGCACTGAATAATATTCCACCTCACTCTTCCTCCGGACTGTTTGAGAAAATATTTCTATTTCTTCAGGAAAAAACAGCTTTCATATGTAAAAATGCAGAAAAATTTGAAATAATTACATAGAATAATCACTTCAAAGGCATGCTGAGTGAGTGGTGGCACTGGGACTGTAGTGGGAAACAGGAAAAATTATGGTGTTGGTTTGTGTCTGCCATTTTGATTTCAGTGCTACATGGAAAGTTTATTAAATTTTTGGACTAACTCTTTCTATTGCAAAATCAAATTTAATTGGCTGAATCCAATGAAGATGAAGTCTACTGATTAAGTTATAAAAGAATATGTTTTCAACTTCTTTCTTATGTCTACTAAGAAAATAAGTCTGCTCATGTTAACTGCAAGGAGGTAGCAGAAAATGTATGAGAGAAAMGTTTCTGTAGAATGGAAAATTATTGCAGTAATCAAATCACTGTAACAATTTTGCCAAAAAAATGTATTGTTTGATGTTTACCATAGTTAAGGAATTGGCCTAGCTACAAAAATCCTTGAAATCATGGCATTCTTCTAAAGGGCCAGGCATCTCTTCTTTTCTCCTAAGATAACAAAAATGCACAGCTCTTTTCCATTACTTTCAAGGTTTGAAGTGTCCCTCTAGAGAATTTGTTTTATCATTTACTTCCACCTATTCAGGTTAAATTTGCTTTAATCTCTTTGAAAGCAAAAGGAGATTTTGGCTGTTTTCTAAGAGAATGATTTTACACTCGAGTTTATGAGGATGTAATCCACTCTCTTCTGCCAACAGTTCTAGAAAAAAAAATAAGAGCAATGGTTGACTAGTAATGTTCAAATAATTATTTTCATAAGCYCCACATTATACCAGATGTGCTCAGTAAAGCAGGCAGCAGGGAGAGGCTCAGGTCTGTGTTATACACGCACATATGTCTATGTGTGTGCTTGGAGTTTGCAGAGGACAGGAGAGATGTGTTTCTGTAGAAGATGCCGGAGGCAGTGGAAACAAATGAGTGCTCAGAAGACTGAAAGAGAGGCAAGAGACAGAAGGAAACTGGGCTGTGCCTTCCAACTGCTTTGCATTGCTTTTATTCAACAAAGGAGTTGTAAATTTAGATTAACCAGCCAGCGTGCTCTGGCTGCTTTGCACTACTCCAGAGTAGCATAAAACAGCCACAGCATATCAATGAACCTGGCCATAAAAGCTTGCATAAAACAAAACACGTTTGTGTGTGTGATTCTTGGAATGATTAGGAATAGTTAATGTTAATATTATCTTTTAACATTCACAGGTTTGATTTTAATTTAAGAAGGGGAAAAAATTCAAAAGAAATAGGTGGCAATAAGACATGAACTATATCCATTATTTTATTTTAAAAATAGTACATTTGTAATATGTCCCCAAAATATMAACAAAATTCAAAATTTAAATCATGCTTGAAATTATATGTGTTAAAATGTAAAAACGAAATAAAACTAAGGTGTGCAGAAAATCTTCACCCTGTCTTGCACTTCTTAGTGCTCATTTAGGGAGAAAATAARTATGCTAAAAACTTTCTGTATTCTAATATGTGCTCACAAATATTTACAAAAATATTCATTGTCATCTTGTGGCCATACAGGGCATAGTTAAGTTTATTTGAAACTTTGTATTGATGCATACCAACCCTTTTTTCCCCTTTGTTTTGTATTTCCAGACTTGATGACATTTAATTTTGACATTTCAAATTAAAAACTTTGCAAATGTACGTTTGATGTTTTCATATATATTGTCCTTGTTAACTCTGTTTCAGCATAGGTACTGACTGTAATGTTTCATCACTTTAATGTTTCATTCTAATGTTTACATT